AAAAAAAACACAAACCACAGCACAAACTGAAAACAAAACAAAACCCACAGAACCCCATGGACTGAAATAATTGCTAGTGTTAGCAGTTATTTTAGTGGCTTTTGTGTGCTTGGAGACCAGAACTAGCACGTATCTTTGTGCTTAAAGGTAGCACATGCTTTTTTCTTCCTATTCCTAAAGCTGCCTGAGAAATGGTAGGTAATAAAAGACATTTGAGCCAGCAACACTTTCTTTGGTTGGGAAGACATCGAGAAATAGCTTTTCACAAAGGCCTCGTATCTGTTACTTCAGTGGCCCCTACAAGGTGGTAGCTGTTTGAAGTAGCCTTTTTTTCTCCTTCCTTTCTTTAAATTCTGCCACTTTGCTGTCTGCGTAGCTGCTGACATGTTGAAATAAGGCTGCATAGAGGCACATCTGTTAGTGTCCTTTATTGACTTATTCATACAGATCATCTTCGCTATTCTCTTTTAGCTGGCTTATATATAAATCCCGAGAGACAGAACCATCTGTAAAGGTACAATATTATGGTTTGTCCAGTGGCAAAATCAGTTGAAGGGGTTACTTACTGCTTGTTCATTTCTGTGATTTGAACTGCTGGTGTGACATTGCCCTAATGGGCAAAAGTGAAATTAATTTGGTTTAAAAGACGCCTACTTAGAGGAAGTTTTAAATCCAAATGATTCTGCTGATCCTTTTTAGAGCATGGCACCACAAGGAATTTGGCTGGCATACCTAATACCTAAGCAGATGTTAATTTGCAGCACCCGGGCTGCAGTGGGAATGTCGTAGGGCTGGGGAAAACAACAAGTGCAATCGCATCCGTAACTTGCTGTACTTTCCCTCTCTCACCATCATCCCTGTAGGCAAAGCGTTCTGATAGCAGAAACCTAGTTGTGTTTCCCTGGAAATCTGCTGGTTCTGTTCCACCTTCTCACCTCCCACAGTTAGGTATCTGCCCTTCTCTCTGCAAGCGTACAGTATTTCACACCAGGATCCAAAGCCTTAGGAAGATACTAGAAAACCTGTCGTCATGATTTCTTACTGAGTGGAATTTAGTAACAGTCCTTGGTTTCTGGAAGATTTAGCTGAAGTAAGGATCAGTTTAAAATGCTCTTCTAATATCTGTAAAAATTCGAGTTGTTAGCTTCTCTTAATTTAGATTAGCAGTAGTCTTGACAAGTGGTGAGACTGTCTTGAGATACAGTCCAGTGTAGAGAATAAAACACCAAAAAAATGAATTTGAGTCTGATTTTTCTGTAAAATATAAAGACAAATGCTAAGTTTAGTTTTGAAAAAATGCATGCTTGGTAGATTGAATAACACTTCTTGTTGTTTTTAAAGGAATTGACACTGCTTGGAAAACCTAAAAGACCTCGTACTGGCTTTAACATTTTTGTGTCGGAACACTTTCAAGAAAGTGAGGGGATTTCACCTGTGGTAAGCCAGGAAGGATTGTTCTTTAAAATAGAACTTTTGTATGCAGAAAATCTGTTTTAGCTTCTGTCATTTTCAAAGAAACTGTTCAGTAGTTCAGTATCTGGATTTTGCTTTGCTTAGGCTGTATTTTTTTTTAGGCTGTGGTGATCTGGCTATACTGCTGGTGGCATGTCCTATATAAACTGCTGTGTGGGTATACAGACTTAAAATAGTTGTGCTGGTTTTTTGCACTTCAGTGTTACAGACTTCATCTGTTCCTTCTGTAAGGAGAGAATTCCACTTTTCTTTGTTTCGGTGTAGAAATATATGCTTTTTTCAAATAGTTGTGGTGGTCTGCTACCGTTTCTGTAAGTAGTGGTTATTGTACCTCCTGTAGCACAGTCGAGGTTACGGAACATGCGAGAGTTCCTCAGCAAACTCACAAGTTCCGCGCTAAACTGTGCTTTGGGGTGATTTAAGTTACGCTGATGGATTACAGCACTTGAAGTACTGGAGACCTCCCCTGTATGCCTAATGTGTTCCTTACCCTATGCATTTAGTCAGTAAATCGGGATGGTGGAAATAGTTCGTTCTTCGGTTTTCTGTGTACAAGGCAGCCATCTCCAGTCCGCTGAGGCCCAGTTTGACACACACACGGCAAAATACTCCTGAAGCGGTACAAAATTTTCTGTGAACATGGTTAGTACTTGTATGGGCTTGGCTTAAGTTAGGGCTTGGTTGAAATGAAACCAATATGCAGAGTGAGATGTAGTCACGTTGCTATAAATGAGCTCAGCTGTTCTCTCTGCCTGCTTTCACAGCAGGCGAAGTGACTTAAACTGCTTTGTGCTTATATTGTCTGTAAATGTGGCTCAGATGATGCCCAGCAACTTGTTGACCCATATTGTTGTATTACTTACCTACATTAAGAGGGTGAGGTATTAAGCCCATGTGACTTTGTGCCTTTTTACGTTGGTTTATACTTGGCTTTCCCTAGCATGGCATTCATCTGTAACCCTGTGTGGTCAGTCTGCTGTTAAAATAATCCTAATGTATTGCATGTTCTATATCCTGTAGGCAAAGTTGAAGCAATTATTTGATGCCTGGCAAAAACTGTCCAGTTCTCAAAAGCAGGTATGTCAGTGGGTTTTTGATGAGGCTGGAATAATTTGCAACAATTGGATTTTTTTTTCTAATAATACATAATATTTTTTTAATGCCAGCATAGTAATTTGCTGCTCGTGGAAAGACTTCTGACAGGTAAAAGCAACAGAAATCTACAAGTGATGTGCACACAGTAATTTATTAACTTTGGTTGTCTTGGGGATAGTTTTCTGCCAGCTTTCTCAATGTATTGAAATAGGAACCTGCAGATGAGTATATGAAAATTGGAGGGGTGCTGTACTGAAATCTAATCTAGACCTCCAGATCTTGAGGATTCAAGATGTCTGTATCTTACTGTCCTTCCTCCTGAATGCCCTTCTTCCAGGGTGTTCTGAGTGTGTACTTAGAACACACACTAGGTTCATGTTCTTTCTGTAGAAAAAGAATTTGCAATAGTTCTGCAGAAATAGCTATTCCTGTTCCTTACATAAGCCAGCTCTCTCAAACTCATACTCAAATAAAAAGCCTTAGCTGTTAGTAGCAATATTGAATAAACTTCCTCTTCAGGAATGGCCATCTGTTGACATAACTGTAATTCAATGCTAAGATTTGGTATTTTTGTGCAAGTTTGACGTTTTGTTTTGGAGGTTTTTTTCATTTGCTGGAGGCGAAAGTGAATGTCTGGGGTGCACACTGCAGAGGTCTTACTCTAAGTCACCTTTGCATCACAGGGGAGGATGTGACATGGCAATTAGCCAGACAGAGCCCCTGCTGTAACTGTTGATACCTAATTTTCTTCCAGCCATACCTGCAGCTTGCTGAAGATGATAAGGTTCGATATGGAAACGAAATGAAGTCGTGGGAAGCCAAAATGGTTGAACTCGGACGTGAAGACCTGATACGTTCCAGAAAGCAAAAGCCAAAACCGAAAACTGCTGAAACTGCAAAGAAAGCTGGAACGGTCAAGGCTTCCTCACGTGAAAAGAAGGCAAAGTTAAAGTTGAAAAAATCGGAAGAATAAAATGGAAAAGTATTTTATATTTAATGCCCTTTGGTTGTCATGTCTTTATCCTGCTGTGTTAGTGCTGCAGTCAGCATTAGCACTGAAATTTGGAAGGCCCGTAAAGGGCCCATTGGAGAAGTAGAAGAGGCGATCGGGTAAGGGGGGATTCAGTGTCTCTCAGAACTGACTGAAATAATCTTCGCAGGTGCAGCCTGAACTGTACCGTAACTGGTTAATCAAGCTGTGAATAGTGATACTCAGTGACATCAGCAGAGCTCTCCAATAATGGTAGATAACAGCTAGCTTTTATAAGGTATTTTTTATGAAAGCAAGAATATTCCACACTGTTGCCATCCAAAATCTGTAAATAAGAGCTGAAATCTGAGTTAATGCTGCTGTGTTTTATTCCCTCCATGGTATTGGTAGTGAAGAGAAATGTTCTACATTTCAACAAAAGGCACAAGAAATGTAAAATACTAACTTGTATTTTATGCATCTGTCTTTTTTTGTACGTATCAATCTGTGTATACCACTTCTGTTGCATTTAATTAAAGACCATATGAGTTTTGTATAAACATACCTTTATTGGACTTTCATTCCATCGTTTGGTGTGGATACATGCAAACACTTCGGCCTTCCTGTTGTCCCCTTTGGGACAGCCTGGAAAGAACAGAACGTGTGAGAACTGTTAGAACTTCGAGTTTTGATGTAATAAATACAGGTATTTTCAAGAGCTGCTTGTTTTTTTTCCTGGGGTCTCTCTGCCTTAGTGACAGTCTCGTGGGTAGTTCGGAGGATCTGTATTTTTAGAAGGCAGGCAAGCTTTTTCAGTAGTCGGTGGATTTCATCCGTCTTGAATGACGCACAAAAGCCAGCAAAGCTGCTTGGTCACCAGTGGGAAGTGGAAAGCCGAGTACCAGGCCCTTGACGCCTTTTTTTTCCACCCACCCACCCCTTTTTTTTTTTTAAAAAAAATTTACTGATAGTAACGGTATCTGAGTGCTGCTGCTGGCTTTCTTCCGTTGCAGGAGAACACAGGCTGAGGTGACGGGCGGGAGGCTGTTGCTCACAAGCAGGTTCCCAGCTTGTC